GCGGCTTCCAGCCGAGCCTGGGCACAGTGACCCACGCTGGAGCTCACCTGGGTCATCTTACAAATTTTACTTCATCATTTCCACAAAGCCAGATGCTTGTTGCCCTGGCAAGTCCGAATGTTAAACTAAACACAGGATCATTCCCAACTATTTTACAACCGATAGTTTTTCCTTTCATTAAGCAGGATATGAGGTCCCTGGGCCAACAGTGTTGGCAGCTGTGGCTGCTGAGATTTGTGCAGCAAAGCAGCTCTCCAGAGAAACACAAAACAGCAAGGAAAACATCTTGCAACATTGTCACTTGGATTTGAGAGCCTGGACAAACGTATGCTGGAGTAGAAGGTGTCTGAAACCTCTTTGTATATAGGTAAGAGTTGGGCGATTAAAGTAAGTAGTTTAAAACACAAAACTCCACATGTACTTTATGTTAACGTACTGTATGAGCTAGAATCTTACAGCATAATAGCAGAGAAATTTTCATAACAGGTTGCTCAATGCTGACAAAACAAATTCTAAGTCTTTCAATTCTTAGATCAAGAAAAAAAAAATATATATATATATACACACTCACTATCATTCCACAGAATGATAGGTGTAACAGTTAGTTACATGGTGAACATAGTTCACTAGATAGCAGTACATAGTTACATAGATAGTGAATTGCGGTTGTAATTCACAAATGCCCTTCCTTGCTCGGAAGCTGATGCAGGGTCCAGGTCCAACATCCTGCAGCGCCGCTCGGCACCGCCGCTGCACCCACCACCTTGCTCACCCAGAGCCCCGCTGGGCTGGAAGCTCCTTAGGAGAAGGACCCATCTAAAGTGCTATCAGCTCCTAATAGCTGCAGACCGGCAGCTGCTTCCTCGCCGTTTGACCCCAAATGTTTGTCTGGGGAGACGGCTCTAAAACCCACGCACGTTCCCACAAGAAGCGGGTAAATCACTCTGAATCCTCCCTGTAGGTTTTCATAGCATGTTTTTGATTTGCCCCATGCTGGTTCTCCTCTACACTGTTAAACTAACGTAACAACCCTGTGAAAAGAAACTTCTTTGACTGAATATTTAAGGCCAGAAAAGTGTGAGAATGCTTTGGACGCCTTCACAAAACTGAGCAACCTCATAGATAAAGCAAAACCAAACCACCTGAGATATCCTAAACTCTACTAAGTATTTATATATTCACCATACTGTGTAAAGAGCATTAGGCAAACTGGACATGAAAATCCTCTAGTAGCCCTTTCAAAACCATGAGCGTCTCGCTTGCTTATGAGAAACCAGTTGATTTTGTTTACGTGTATTTAACCGAAGTGCATAAATCCTCTGCAATAGCACTCATGCAATTACCATCTCAAATGGTACCTATGCAGGAACCCAATTTAAACCAACTGCATTTGCACATCAAACCATCCAGCTGATGATCTAGTCCAAATATACTTTGCTGATGTGTCAGAGCAAACGGACTCTGGTGCAGCTCGGGAAGCCCTCGCAAACACAGGCCGGTGCCAGGTTTAACTGTGGTGTCCCCCGGGACTCCCCGGCCCCGGCGAGTCGCGATGGGCACCGCTCTGCTCCCCGCGTCCAAGGGGAGAACATGGTCGGGGGGAAAGGCTGGAGTGGCCTGGGGTGCCGCAAGCACCTGCTGCCCCTTGGCACTGCGGAATCAAACCACTGCTTGTTTAATTTCGGGTTACGTACGGCCTCAGTAACAGATGCACAGACTTAAGACAAGGTATCTGAAGACTTCTAACATTTTAGAAAGTGCTTTCATCATTTTTAGAGAGCAGAGTGTGGTTTCTGCTCGCATCTGTGCTTCTTTGGGAACCTGGCTTTCGACATACCCTTACTTTTCAGGAATATCAAAGAGGCACACAATTATCCAAACTGGCTTAAAAAAGAAAACACTGATGTCATTATTCCACAAACAAAACATCTGCAAAGTAACCTAGCTGAGTCTCCTTTGTTTAATTCAAACACCCACACTTAACATGTTCTAAATTAGCCAAGACCAAGCAATTGGAGCCCTCAGAACCTCGGAATATAAAATTCCAAAAAAATACATTTCCATGACCTCCAGAATCATTTTCCTCACTGCACAGAAAGCTAATTCCCAATATTCCCGCGATTTTTTGACGCTGCCTACAAATTCCCCTCCTTTCACAGGGCCCCTGTCTCAGCAGAGCCCGCGGATACAAGCCCGGGTAATTCACAGCCCTGCTGAGGGGCAGCTCTGCAGCAGCTCTGTGCTCCACGGCAGGGCACGAGGGCACAGGGCGCCCCGCGCGAGTCCCAGTTCGCCTGTGCACCAGCCAGCGAGATGGAAGAGGTGCCTTCAAAGGCACTAGGTGACTGACACAGCGTAATTGCACACAGCGACCGATGACAGAAACCTGTGTAATTCCATTAAAGATAAGCAATCGTGTAGGAAAAAAACCCTAAAAGGTCAAATAAAATCCCTAGATTTCAAATATAGCAGACAGGATTTCATGCACTAGACAAACACAGGCAAGGAAAGAGGAGACAACAAAACATTTACTTATATCTTCCCCGTTCGTCCCATCCCTTCCAATGCTATTTTATCTCAGCTCTCACCTCAGCTACAAGCAGCAGCCGCCCCTGCAACAGCTTTCTTGCAAACCAGGAGCCGGGCGGGTGTTTCGGACGCTCGCTCTCAGCGATCCCGATTTACTCGCGAGCTCTGCAGCCTTCCAGGAGGGATCCTGCAGCCTGCGGGGCGCCTGCGGGAGCTGCGCGAGGGGAGCGGGGCCCGCAGGCAGCGCTTGGCATCGCGGCGCCACCATCAAGGGCAACATTGTGGATTCAGGGCGAACGCCGGCGGCGCACGTAGGCACCGGGGCCCAACAGCAGCCCCTTCAGCTCTGCCCTTGGGGCACGTGCCAAGGGGAAACAAAAACCCATTTGGAAACGCACCACGTTTGCTTTGCTTTGCAAAGGAGGAGAATGTTTAGGGGTTGCAAGTGCTACTCTGTGATGAAACAGGCCTCCCAGCCGCACGCACCTCTGCTAGGTTGTATATTGCCTCTTTGCCAGCAATATGAAATCAGTAATAGGGACAAGTGCAAGGTAGGCAGAGCAAAACAAGAAGTGGCACTTACCAAAAACCGGGTTTATTGCTGGGAACATGTGGTGACCGAGGGATCAGAATTACGCTCGCCTGCGAGTAGGTCACCCACAATCCACACAAGGTCTATGGCAACTATTCCAACGCTCGGCGAAAAGGGAAACATGAAGAATGGCCAGTTTGATAGGCAGCACTGAGCTCTGCAGCAGCCAGTCCTGCTGTTCACACTAACCTGCCCTTCCAAAGACTCGTGGAATCCAAAGGAAAAAAAAGAGACACAACCACGGCCTACATTTGTACTAATATCAGTGGTTATAGCAAGCACTGTCCAAGGTAAGCACCTATCCAGAGGATGGAGGCAGCGTTTGTGCTCTTACCTCTCACCTGGCTCCGTTCTCCAGCAGGGAAGGTCTCCTGCAGAAGGCAGATGCCCGTCAGCAATTCCGTAAAATGCATCACATTTTGCCCAGGGACCTGCCAGCCCCTCCTGGCCTGAAAGCGAGTTTGTTTTAAGGGGAAACAAGGCTCTTTTGAGCTAAATACACCCTGCTGATGGCTCCGCGCTGCGGGAGCCCCCGTTCCCGAGCCCTGCTCCAGCATCACCCGCTGCAGCCGAGCTGCTCCGCTCGCCGGCACACGGATGTGCCGAGCCCACGGCGGCGGGGCGGGAAGGGGCACCGGCTACGCGGGGCTGGCTCCTACCGCTGCAGGGCAGAGGCTCTGGGAGGCACCGCAACCGCTGCAACGTTCCCAACAGTCCCTTACGGACATCGAGCCCCTTTGGAGCTGCTTTAAACCCGGGAATTCAGGTTCATCTGCAAACCCCAGTCCCACTCAAAAACAGGAAGACCTTCTCTTTTAGACTAAATTAACTTATACTTGGCCTTTTCTGCCCGAGAATAAGAGGAAATCAGATTCAAGATGTGGCGCGGATGACATGTAATTAAACAGACGGATCACTGACACATAAATAAAGCTTCACATTTGCAGCAGACACACCTTCTACTTCAATAAGCCAGAGGTGACTTTTCAAATACTTTGATGCAAGTGCTGCCCCAAAAGCCCAGGGGACCCCGAGGGGTCACATTCCTTCCCCATGGGCGCTTCCCGAGCCCGATGGGAGCCAGCAGGGCCAGGCCAAGGGACAAGCCCGAGCACAAGGGCGTCCGCGGCGGCTGCGTAACCAACCAGCTGAGGGGCTGGAATCGTTCTAGGAGAGCAGTGCTAATGAGCTCGGGCTCGTTATTACTGCTGTCATCGCCCACGGGAATCAGGCCTCCCCACCGCTTTGCTCGGGAGCCACGGGAAGGGACGAGCCCCGGCCGGCGCCTCAGCCGCCCCGCGCACCTGGGGCTGCAGGAGCCCTAACGCCGCGACCCGCTGGGCACAGTCCCGTGATCGTTCCAGCTTTTCCCACCTGTCAATAGCCATTCCTAAGAAAACGCTTGCTGGATACAAGAGAAATCTCAGGAGCGCAGCAACGAGCCCTACAGCCTGCCTGGTATAGCGGTGCAGCATACAAGTTGTACAGTAGTAAATGCTGCAGCATTCAGTGCTTTCTGCCTCAGCACTCACAGCACATAATTATCATTAAAAAACTGTTAGTATTTCCCTGGAGGAAGGCATATTGGAGCAGAAAAGGGAACATGATGTGGTCGTAATTGAGAAGGAAAACATTTCTCCAAGAAATTATTTTTTCTAGGCAGCGATGCCTTTTTAAGCAGAAGAGCGCAGCTCTCAGAAGCAGCTCAGCTCTCTCGCAGACGGTCACTATAACGACCCCGCTTGCTTTTACTTTGAAAGCAGTTTGTGGAAAGCTGCAGGGATGCCCCCGCGAGCAGAGCCGCCGAGAGCTGCGCCGCTGGGCAGCGTGACGCCCGCGGGCCGGGGGTCCCTGCCCGTCCCCCTCCCTGCGCGCCTACCTCGGGAGCGGGACTCGGCCTCCTCCTCCTCCTCCTCCTCCTCCTCGGCGGAGCAGAGCAGAGCGGGTCCCGCCGGCTCCAGGGCCGCCCTGCGCCGCGGCGCGAAGCGGAGCCCCTGCTCGCTCAGGGGACGCTTTAACGGCGCTCAGCTCCACATCGGGCTCTTCCGTCGCTCCTTACGAGCAGATGCCTATTTCAAGCAAATGTCTATCTCCTGATAACTATACACATCAAGCAATGATTCTTTTAGCCAGCTCTTCCTCGCTTCTTGCAGAGGAGCTCTGGGATCGGAGCGGAGCAGAGGAGGCAGCAGCGGGCGGCGCGGGCCGGGCTCCGCCGGCAGCGCTCCGGCCGTCCCAGCGCGCGGCCGCCCGGTTCCCCCGGAGCCGTTTCCGAGCCCGGGCCGCGGTTCTGCTCCTCGCGGCTCCTGCGGGACCGGGGCAGACACGCGGCTGCCGGCTCTGGCAGGGAGCGTCTCCCTGGAGGGGAGCCGCGCAGTCCAGCCCAGCTCTCCCTCGCCGAGCGCTCTACCCCAGCAAGATCCAGATAGGAGCCTCTAGGTTTTCATCTCTTGCCAACTGCAAGCGGGTTTGGTTATCGTTAGGAGAATGTAATTCCATTCACCTCGCTCCATTGAAGTGTCTTTCTCAACAGACGGAGCAGAAAGGCGGGCATTCGGAGAGGCAGCACAGCAGCCACGTCCCCTCGAGAGGCAAAGATTAGACACAATACTGAATAAGAGCTATGACTGCCATCCACTTATTTGTACAACTTAGCGCAAAGCTCGATGCCAGAGCTTATTTTGGCAGGTTAATTAGTCATGCAGAAGGTATTCCGAGCAGAACCCGAGCAGTGCATGACACAAGCGGCCGCATTAGGTCAGCGCTGGCTCCCGGCTGGAAGCTGCTCCGACGCCGCGAGGCTCCTGCTGACGCGGGAAGCTTTGCAGCCCGGCCCGATTCGCATCTCGCAGCAGTTTCACCACAAGCGCCCCTGACTCCAGCAGGAATTGAGCTCGGCCACGCCGGTATTTCCTGTCTGGATGGCTAGGTGAACGTGGTAATGGAATAGAGGCTCCCTGAGCGGTCCCGAGGCACCGTGATGGGGTTTGGTCTCCAGCTTCTGGGCACTACTTACTCCTTGGGAAGGCTGCAGGGTCAGACCAAGCCTTCAAATTCATCACTTACCACCTACCTGCACGGCACGGTGCAAGTGCCCTCTCTAGTTTACAACATCCCAGAAATCAGGCAAAGGCTGAAAAGTCTCAGGGAGATGGCTGGAAAAAAGAGAAATGCTCTGGTGGAACCAGTAACAAATACCAGCCTTGGAAACCTTTGAAGGGACCCAAGCCCAGAGGAGCTTTGCATGGGCAGGGGAACATCCCCTTCCCCGTTGGCCCAGGGCAGGTGCATTTCTAGGCTCACCTGGAAAGGATCCAGGTGACCAGAGGACCTGGAAAGGCATCTCCCAGGCAGATGTGAGCCCTGGGTGCAGCAGGAAAGCAGTGCAATCCCCACTTCCATATAGGCTGTTACCTTGATCGAGCGAGTACTTACAGATTTCGTTGGAGGGTTGCTCTAAAACTCACTAGCTGGGGCACTCCAAGCATTCGATGCCAGCCGTAGTCCTGCCTAAGCAGCTGGACACAGAGGGCAGCCAGCACGACGGCTGTAAACGTGAAGGTGAGGCAGAAATTTCCTCTGCTTTTGAGTTAACAAGAAAGCAAAGTTAAGAGCATGGAATACACGTGGAGTTTCACTAAAGAGAGCCTACACCCCAGGCCTGACTCATCTCAAAGATCATATTTTAGATAAAAAAACAAAAATCCCCACAACTTTAGCCTGGTACACCGGATTTAATCACCCAGGTAGTTATTGCATGCTTACTCCCATGAATACTATTAATAAAAATAGACTCATCCAGCTGGGGCTCCAAGAATTTCTGAATCACCCCCGTGAATCAATCGCAGCTAAGCCCATCTATTCTGGCGAGCTTAATGACCAGAAGACAAAAGCAGCAGCAAGCTCTGCAGCAGCTTGCAGCTGGGAAGATGAAAGACCTTGGAGAGGACGGGCAAGAAATCCCACAGCACTATTGGGATAACAAGGCCATGCATCTCGTAAAGGTTATAAAAGCCTTGGGCTTCAGAAGCGAGATAATGAGGTCAAAGCGTGCGAGCGGAAAGGGCTTGGCATCCATCAGTGCATTTCACTCGCTGCTTCATCAGGAGAAGGTCTACCTATGTCTCTGTGTGCGTATGTATAAAATACAGAGTAATTTCAAACACTCCGGCAAGTTTGTATATAAAACTGTGTTGAAAGAGCTTGTGAAGTTCCATAGGTTATGAAATATTATAAATTCTAGAGGAATTAAAGAGGAGCAGACAAATAACTGACAATAATAAGGGGAAAAGAAGAAAAAAAAATAAATAAAAAAAGAGAAAATCCAGGCAACTCATTACAAAAGATCTGTATTTCTTTTCCCAGGGAGAATTGCTCAGCACCGCCACAGCATCAAACGCAGCCGTTTGTGGAGGCTCTGGACGCTGACACACGACACTCGAAGGCAAACTCACGTGCAGCAATTACCCCGAGCGCTCCAGCCAAGGGCTGCAGCTCGCTCCGAGTTCAGCTGGATAATCCCAATGCATTGTAGGCCGGCAATTTGCAGTTATTAGTTTTTGTTCATTCTTTTAAAAGGTGAAATGAAAGAATTAACAACCAGACAAAACTGTCTCGCAGGATTAGCTCTGTTGATACTAAATCCTGCTTTTGTCTTAAAGGAACATGATTTTTATTATTTTTATTGGCCTTAACAAATGCTGTGACACTGCCTGGACCCATTGTATAAAAATAGCCTTCAATTTTGAAGTCTCTTTGGACACGCTGGCCTGAAACACATCAGCAGCCCTTCGCTCAGCGCCAGCTTTCAATGCACTTTATTCATCCACTTGCTTGCAGCGGTTGTGAATGCTCATTTCATACACGGGGAACAGCAAAGCCATTTCTTCAGCTGCAGTGGCTCATGCCAACAGCAGGATGTATCTGTGGTTCTTAATCTGCTGGATCAGATTCCTCAAATTTCCTGTAAATCCAGGGAAATAGCTAAACTGGGCCTATTATCTTGTAATTTTCAGTGTCCATCATAAACTAGTCTAATTTAGGCAAAGGGCTGAACTTTGCACCCTTGTCTCAGAGACATTAACTCCCCTATAAAGTGTATTTATAGCTCTCTTCTACCAGCATCAGATGCAACATGCCTGTCTAAAATTATGCTATATCCTTTTTAAAAGCCTTCTCCTGCCAGTTTTAATCAGCTTTATATCTTCACTGAAGCCTTGCCAAGAGCATCCAGCACTCTGCGTTTCTGAAAGAACAGCTCAGTCCTTGCAATATCCGATAGCCCCCAGAAGGTGCACTGCATATTTGCTATAACCTCCTGCCCCGAGATCAAGATTTTAGAAAGACAAAGTCTTTAATCATCAGTCATTAATCTTTGTCATTAATCTTTGGGCTCGATGGAGTTGGGGCTGGATTTCCAGGAAAAACACAGGGAACGACAGAGGTGCTAACGCACGAATGGCACGCTGCACTCCTGCTCTCCAAGCAGCCCTCTTTTCAAGCCTTCTCCTGGCTCCTCATGATTTGGGGCTCAGTCCAAAACCAAGAGCTCCTGGTCCTGCTAACCTCATCAGCTAGGCTCTCACCTTGAATCTCCTGCTGGAAACTTTAGCAAACTCACATATTTTAGATACAGTTCAGAAAGATTCTTATAATTTGATGGAGTAACACAGCTTGATTTTTCCCATTGCTTTATCTCCAAAAAGGGAAGCAGAAGCACCACAGAACCACTCTGGATGCAGGGAGATGATCTCCAGCCATGACCCGAACCCAAGCGCACGTTGATCCCGCAGAGCGCCCTTCTCAGAAAGGACCGTCACAGCAAGAAGAAATTGCAGATCAGCGTCAAGGATATGAAACCTTATGCCACGGAAACAAGCCTGAAAGGATCACATTTCAAAACTTTATGCAAGTTTAATTGCATTTATCTTAATTGATAGAAGATTCAAGGACAATAGCTTGGAGACATACACTAAATTATCGTTATTTATAACCATATTACAGATGTTAGGCTTAGCTTCTTGCATGCCCCAACAGTGCTTGATTTCACACAGAACTAGTGACATAACTAACAACATTTAATCATGTTTAAAAGATTTTCGGAGCCAGAATATTCATTGAGCAGTCTAAATGGTTTCTCCTTCTCCGACTTCAGAAAGACTGATTTTTCCAGTCCTCGGAAAGAAATTAAATATCTATGGCATTCTGGTCTCTAGCATTTAGAAAAGATTTCCCAGTCATAAAACTAGAAATACTGCTAGAGCACAGCATTTTTGAAGAAGAAAAGACACACGGGGCAGGCAGTCATGCCATTCATTAGACTACATACATTTCTCAGCTTAGAAATCCCTTGAAGAGAGATTAAAAAACGGTAAAATATTTGTTTTAAGTGCATCCAGTCTCATCCTCCCCCCCAATCTACAGAGGAATCTCCAAAAAGGGTTTTCCATCAACTCAACATCCCTTCCTTTTCAATGGTGAGGCACAAATGGGGTTTCTTTCAGCTCTCCCTTGGAGAGAGGACAGCTCAACAGAAACCAGCTGCAACCAACCTGTTCGATGTAAAACAAAACAGCACTTCAATTAAACGAGGAAGTATTATCAGAATGAGATAAGGTTTGCAGAAAGAGGAGGATATCAAGAAAAATTGGAGGGAAAAAGTGAAGATTACCTCAAGGGCAAGGGAAAAGTGCAACATGGAGAAGTAAATGCATGGGGAAAGGGAACCGCAGACTTGGGAAAAGCCATCGTTGGGTGACTGGGAAAATCCCACATGCCCAGAGGAGGACTGCAGCCCTCTCCTTGCCAAGAAACTCGATTAATTAACCAGCGCACGGGGCTGAGCTACAGCAAAAGCATACGTACGCACTCCAAGAATTTCTCTAAGGTTTG